GGGTCTCCATTTTGCTCAAGGTACTGGTGTCAGGTACTTCTGCATACACGAGCGAGGTGCAGCGACTTTGATCCTTATGATTGAACGCGAAATAGAAGCCTATCTGTGGCTTAATCAGGTTGCGCACGATCACAAAACCGTCAATCCTCAAGCAAATTATTTTGATCCGTATACAGCTGCGCACATTCAACAAATCGCGAGAACTTTTTTATTCAGAAAGATTCTGATATTGAAGAAAAATCCTGGAGTTTCCCAGCATTTACGTCAGGACACTTGGATAAAAACTACTGGCATGTTTTTAAAGGAGGGAATACCACTTCGTAGCAATCCTACGTGATGTTAAAGAAGTATTTGTTGTTTAATTTTCGGTACTTAAGTCAGATTTTCTTTTTGCAATAAAGACGACATATTTTAAATATGCTTCTGATGTTTGATTAGTATATGCTATTGTAGCACCCATGTTCTTTGTGAACTACGAATAACGGCACGGCACGCCACATGGGTGGCTCCTTGCCAAACGACGACTACAACAACTAGGTGTGCAGCCGTTTTTGCATTGCGCACCGTTTTGCCGCAAGCTCCGGTCGTTAATTCTATTCTCCCTTTTGGAGCGGATATTTTAATACTTACCTCACGGCTTGTTTGCCACAAACAGTGATTTCTGCTGGCTTCGAATGTTTCAAAATCCCATTTTGCCTGATGCTTTGCGGGAAAAATTTTGCGCACAGCCCCTCATTCTACAGCAATTCTCACACAAGCAAGCATCATATCCTCGAATGAGTGGCGGTCCTCATAGCCAACCACAAATAACAATAATGCAGACGATCTATTCAAAAATAACATGCTGAAATCGTTAACTTACTGAGAGTAGAAAGTGTTTACATAAAAAGTGGAGAAAAATTGGTCTCCACATATTTTTGGATACTATACAAGCTCATCGCACTTGACTGAACAAGCGAACAGCGGGGAGAGGATGGGTGGTTTTAGGTAGAAATTCAAGCTATTTTCAGTGTTGATTCCAACGATACACCATTCGTCGCAGTAAATGCTGGTGGGAACATGCTGACTGGTCCGAAATCGTTATCCTCTGGCTTATTGTGAGGATAGACATGGGAAAAGACAGAGGCATAGTCACAGACAGAAGGACAGGGTAAATTTTGTTCACCGAACCCCATCGCTTGGTAGGCCGGAAGCGCCATCGTCTCAGTGTGTCTCTGGGGGCTTGAAGTCGGTGCTTCGTAAAAGGGTGCACAGTACTGTTGCATCGGATCCATTGGAGCAGCAGACGGAGAAACCCCAGCCTCCGAGAACATTGTGTTGGTTTCGGCCTGAGGGTACTGGGAGTAGCCATGGGCCATATATTGGGAATAAAATTCGGAGTTGGCAAGGGGGTAGGTCGAGGACTCATGGGCTTGTGTCTGCCGTCGCCGTTGGTGTTGTGGCTCACATGACCGGGGTTGGGGTTCTTGACCTGGCGGAAGGGTTTGACTTTCAGTTCGACCAGTTTCAAAAGTGTTCGGATTGAGCAGGCTGGAAAACATTGCTGCATACCTGCCGAGACCTTCTTCCGTCACATGATTGTTTGACGGCCTGATTGAGGGGCAATGTGAATAATGTGAAGTACCGAAGACCTGAGAAGAGGACCTCGAAGTTCCAAACTCTGCACCGACCACCCCAACACCACCAATCCCGGAAGGACTGCTACTCTGGCTTCCACTGCTCGCTTGATTGCTATCAATGAAGCCGGGAACCGCACTGCTTGCAAGCGATTGAAGGGTATGCTTCTGAGAGTATGGATACTCACTTAGACTAGACTGTCCAAAATCTCGGGAGTAGTCGGCGAGGGATTCGCGAGTTGGGGGAAAAGCAGGTTCTGTCTTCAATTCTGACGACGGTGGGCGGGAGGGGTAGGATAACTGTGGATTTAAAAATCTTCTGGATGGGTACAAGTCACACCATTCCTGGTCATAACAACTATTCAACTCCCTCGTAAAGAAGGCCTCGCAGCCTGACTCAGTAGGGTTTGTAGTCTGGTAGGTGACATCTCGTGGATAGGAGGGGGTGGCGGCGGCGGGCACGGTTTCCTTTTGAGTTGCCGAGAGTCGGAGCATTTCAGTGGGATTTGGCAGATCGAGGTGTCTACTAGAATCGAAGAGTTGACGTTGGTAGGCGGTAAGTGGGTACAGAGGTGGAGTGGTGGTGTCAACCTCCGTACGCTTCGCTGAAGCAAAATGTGAGAGAAAAGCCTCTTGGGCAGCGAACCTAGCCACTGAGGGATCGGACATGAGGTTGTCAGCGGGTGTCGGTGCGCATGTTTCCCCGCCTGTACCACCGTTAACGCCAGCGTCATTCACTTCGGCCGGGGAGGGCAGCCTCTGTTGTGGTTCCTTCTCCGCGGTGTACTCATCGTTGCTGTCGTCGTCATTGTCTGCTTCGTGATCCTCCGCGCTGCTGTTAGTATTCATGCCGCCGGAAACACGAGCCTGGATCTTCTTCTTTTTCATTCGTCTATTTTGAAACCACACTTTTACCTGACGGTGGAAGGAGCAGTAACGTGACGGTTAGGACAAAGCAAGTAACATTTCATCGGGATTGTTTACTGCGAAATAATGTTGGAACGTTGTGAAGTCGTCTGTACGTTACCTGTAATGTTACTTCAGTAAGCAATTAAATACTGGGAGGATGTAGGGATTATGAGTAACACTGCTTCAAATTCAAAAGCCTATAGGGTGATGATGCTCGACCTAAACATATATGCGTACAGAAAATAGTATTGCGGTCCTAAATTCCTCATCTCACTTCAGGCCACATGCTGTCTTCTACAGCTTGCGCGAGCATACTTCAATTAACTGCGACCACGGAGGGGTGTCCACGTCTGATAAAGCCACGCGTGGTGGAGGAAAGGTAGCAATCATTTTGCTCTATTATTCTGATTATTTGAGTAGTTTCAGGACATTTTTATCCAAAACAGTCGTACTAACACTTCAGATGTGACCCCATGTCCCATCTACGTCTTGTTAGCAGAAAAAAGGCCAAAGCACCTAAACTTGTTTCCTTGATAAGATTGTACAGTCAGTGACCAATCGTATGAAATGTGAACGGGAATGCTGAAATGCGTTTTCGAGAAGGAAATATGACTTAGTTATAGTTTTAATATCGGTTATTATGCGACATGATCCCATGATATTTCAGACACACCAGGATGTTCACTTTTGAATGCACTTCTTTTCGGCAGTTTGCAAAGGCCACACGAAATCAAATATGCCTACTTAACTAGCATATATTTTTTCGACAGAGTTTCGATGCGCCCATAAAGTGAACCATATTTTACGGAAAATATAAACAAAATATTATTTCATCTGCTTATTTGTTGGCAACTGACGTTTTTTAAACTGTCATTCTCGAACAGAAGGTATCTTTCGGTTTAAAAAAGGTTCTAATTATAAGATTTTTTGAGACCATGCAATGTCCACTAAGATAGCATCCTATCTGACCGTTTGTTAATGCTCTTCATTAAATGCAGAGCCATGGCAAACTTCTATGACCACTATGGTATACCTTCCTTAATGATATACAGGAACGTATGCTTTTCCTAGCATGGAGAGCATACATATTGGTGACTAGAAACCCTAAACTCAAACGAAACGGCAGATCAAGCTCAAAATTATTGTATAATCCGACAGATATTTTCAAGCCCAAGTATACACTATTTATTATAACATTTTAAGAAGCTGGACTTTTCTACCTAGTTATTACTACAAAAATGTATTTATGCTTACGTTCTCTATAACATATATAAGGCCCCGAAAATAAATATTAAAAAATATGTTGTATAAGTAGTCACCACTGGCTGAGGGCTGTTTTTTGCAGACGGTCAAGAAGACGAGCAGTTTGAAGCCAGCATCTTGACGTGCCTGAAATGCCTCCGGATTATGCTGTAGGTCCACTTAAGTAATCCTTACTAGTCGAGAACGCAGTTCACAATTTTGGTTAAAAATTAGTGAGATCTGCTTGTATTTGTTTGGAGAATCAAATGGATTCATTGCACTGACAGCTCGCTGTCAACCCACCCCTTCAAACCAGATCATTCGGTTCACCAAAGAATGCAAAGTGTAGAACCACTTCTTTGTGACCCCGGAAAAATTAATTTATGGTCGTTGTACCCGCGGACTATCTCGGCTGAATCTTGTGCATCCTTTCGTCCGCCCTGTCAGGAGCTTTCTGAAGCACAATCGACAAGTGAGTTCCGTTTGCAGTCGGTGAACGTTAATCATTGAGTGTCAATTTCTCTCGACCTAAACTGGAAAGACAACGAGCTCGTGGCTCAATGTTTAGAGCTTTAGACTCTGATCAGAAAGGTCGCGAGTGGTGCACCAGTTGAGGTTGGGTATGACTGGCTGACGACGGCGAATAAGCCAGAAATAGTCATTCCATTCTCCCTTGGCTTTGCTGATAATATTATCTGCCTAAGACTACTAGCTGCCATGGCTTCTCGCAAGGTCCGAGAAATGAGGCCTAAGGCAGAGCGGGACAGGTGGATTCCGTTAGCGGTCGGTGAGGGTTCATCGACGAGTACCTCATTTGTTTACAGCGCAATAACTGAAAAATCCATGCTCCTCACTGGCTTAAATCCGCAGTGACCACTTCTTGCTACCTTCAACACGATGAGGGTACTCGTACGTGACTTAAGCTCATGGACTCCTGTATGCTGCAGCGCACTGTCGACATCTTACAAGTTGTCTCATTAGGAAAAATGCCCATAGCTATTGCGCAAACCACCATCTTTGGGAAGAATAGGGGCTCAAACAACCTGACTGGGATCCCCACGAGGCTGAAAACGACACCCTCATGATGGTTCGATTTTAGACTTACAGATGACACCCCTTACCGATTTGTTCCCCCCTCTTCGATGGACACCCCCTCCCCCCGACACAGCCTCGTCTGGTGCGAGCGCGCGCGTGACCGTGGGTTCGCTGTACGTGACAAACTGACCGATCACAGAATCCATAAAGTGATGGCTAGATGTGGCGGAGACTGGACGCTTACAAGACCCGCATCCTCGTCTCCTAGACCGGATATCTGCCTGTGTTTCGCTTTAATTGGGGAGTCGAAAATGGGGCAGACTTGGGAGAGGGAGATCTTGATTAGGGTCAGTATCAACGAGCAGGCTACGTTCGGCTAAACGATTCAAAAAGGGAATGGAGTTGGCAAACCGGCAGCCTTCTGACTTCACTAACGTTTTAGCGAACGCGTGGGGCAAGTGGCTTCAGTTGATGTATGCTTAACCATGTCCTCGAGAGGTTAATTGCCCAATTTGAAATAAGCTTGATGCCTCGTAGTATAACCGTATAATTTGAGATCTGACACTACTACTTGGAAGGCTGTCAATTGAAGGGATAACTCGGCCCCCCTCTCCGGATTACAAGGGCTCCTTCGTAATGGAACCGTCATGGCACTCTCACTAACGTGAGATCCAAGCTGTTCCATATTTGTTGGAAACTTGTGTAGTACTAAAGATTAGGTTGTGTGTGACACGCGCAGATGGGTTGCTTAATTCTGCCAGACTCGATGGGTGCTTGCTACCGTGACACTCACGCACATATTAGATCCAATTCGCCTCCCTTTGTTAGGTGAAAGTCCGGTACCTTTTGCACATACCACACTGTGTGTGGCACGTGTAGGCGGACTGTTTATTTGGTCAGTCACTTCTCCAGAGCCCACGTCTGGTTATCTTGACATTGTCTTGCCATCGGAGTTCACGGTCCTGTACCCACCAGCTGCGGGACACACACGGTTTAAATTACCGTTCGCGACGATTGAACTGTCCGCCGTTGACTTTGACCAGCATCATCTGTGGTTGGGTATGACCGGCTGATGACGGTTACTAAGACAGAAATAACCATTTTAGTCTCCCTTGTCATGTGAGGTAATCTCATTCTGCCTGAAGTCAATCGTTCAGTTGTAATTATCCTAGCCGACAAGCAGTCCCGTCAAGCTTTCTTAAGCAGTTACTTTAGAACATGCCAATCAGACAGAGTATTCTGGCGATCCTGAAAGGAAAGGCTGTACGTACGAGGGACAATAAGTTCCCCTCCTTCGGTTGCTTTGGTGACTTCTTGAACCCCGTTTTGCAGAGACCGTGTACAGCAGCTGACGACACAATTGAGCTTATTTTGCTTCTGTTACCATTCTCCTCCATACGCCACCGCCTCCTCCCTCACTCTCACTGGGCGCTCAGCGTCAGAGCGCAGGTGCAATCCCCATATAGCCCCCCCCCCTGCTCTGTGCGTGTGCGCGTTACAGCGTATCAGCAAGCAGTCCGGTGGTCGACGTGGTGGGCGGGAGGTGGCCCTGACTGATTTCAAAACGGCTGAAAGTGGTTGTGAGTTTAATTGCCAAAACTGTCCCAGGGGTGAGATAAGGCAGGGAATCGCCGTCAGACTGGTCGCGGCGCTCCTTGTGAGCAGAGGCAGGGTTGGGGGGGATGAAACAACCTAAAGAGTCGAAAATCGAGCAACAGATGTATGGCCGATGGGGTCGCGGGGGTGCGCGTGAATGTGTCCTATTCGTGCTGGCGTAGACTGATTAAATCTCAGGCATGATTGAGCACATCCATTGAGCACCAATATTTATCCCATTAAGCCATGGACGGATCAGACAGACGAGGAAGAGTGGGAACGAACAGTATTCAGTTTTACTTCCAAAGTCATGATCAAAATATGTTTAACATTTCAATCAATATTGTATTTTGGGGTTTACGTCAGCTTTCTGATTCATTGCGTCTAACAAACACTCGTTTGGGGCGTTGCTATAGCCAGGATTTTCAGCATATCGTGATAAAAATATGTCATTTGAGCGCGGTAAGAAAGCAGTTTGAGGGTATAGTCTTCGAACGGCAGCCTTTGGGCATTTGTGCACTGGTAGGGGACAGTGGCCCGATTTGCTGTTAACATAAAAGAGTCTGTGGATCGGATAACACATCTTTCAACAATATATGTGCCAGCCTTGGATATAATGGGGGCGACGGAGTGACAATGTTTTGGTTTGGAGGAAGCAGCAATCGTAATAGCAACCCTATCCATGAGTTCCAGGAAGCAGTTCACAAGGAGAAGCTGCGAGTGCTGGAACAAGAAATGTGTTGGCCCGACTTTTCAGATTCTTGCTCGAACCAACCGTCAGATAATCGCGATGGATTCGCACGAAAACTCGACAAGTCGGGCCGATACACTTCTTGTTCCAGCAATCGTAGCTTCTCCTTCTGAACTGCTTCCTGGAACTCGCCTATTCGATTCTATCAACAGTTACTAATTAAACTACACAGGAGAAACACGCCTTGCTTTGTTGCTTTTTGTAAATAGATTCTCATCGCCTATGCACACTCAAGGTTCTGATTGTGGTGCTTGAGCTTCTCCGTAACCACCGAAACAGAGAACCCGACCACAACACGATTAATAGCAGCAGTTGGCTTATAACCACTGGAGGGTTACCAGGGGGTCATAGGGGA